ATATATACATATATACATGCACATATATAATATATATTATATATGCACACATTATATATATTCCGATTTACTTTTTCCAGTCTTTTCGCTCTCCACATTTCTGATAACTTCTTTTAACTTACTTTACAGTTTATTAATCTTCTCTTTAATGACTACTAGTACTTTATTAGACACAGTTACTAAGAATTTTTAGTTGCATGTAAGTTTTACTGTAAGATTTCCACTTAGTTCTACTTTATGGATTATGCTTCTTTGGTGAAATTCTTCTTGTCATCCTTAGATAGCCTTAGATAAAATCAGCACGGTTTCTTCTGTTTATTTTGAGACAGGCTATCAATGTTTCCCTGGCTACTTTCTAAGTAGACCAGACTGGCCTCAAATCATACAGGTCTACCTATCTCTGTCTCTCAAATGGTGACATTAAAGAGATGTGCCACCACACCCACCTACACGATTCTTTTCTTTAACATATGCTTGAAAACTCTAATGTATAGTTTATGTTTTATTTTGTCTTCACATTGGATTAGAATGTCCAGTAATGGGTGTTTGACCCTGAATATTGTATAAAAAATTATTTTTGAGTGACTAGATGATGTTACTTTTCTCATGGGTAAAGTTAATTGTTGGGTAACAAAATTTTTCCCAGGGCAATAAAACACACTTCACTTCTCACCCTAGCTAGGGAATCTACAGTAGATCAAATTGTGGTTACCACCGAAGTCCAGCTCGGTGGACCAATGGATCTTATGGTGAGTGGTTACTTTCAGGAGCAGACATGACTCAGAGACAGTGTCACCAAAGCCCCCAGCATGGACTCATAAAAGCTGAGAACCTGGAGCTCACTGCACAGCCTGCAGACAGCTCAAAACGTTGGAGAGTGGCCTTTCCAGGTACCTTAGCTGATCTGAAGTCCTTCCAGGTGGCTCTTCTTGTCTGAGAGTCTTCTGTGTAGCTTTTCTCCATCTTTCTTGCTGCTGGGCTCTGTTTCCTCAGAGGAAACAGAGGAAAAGAGGCAGGAAGGGAACTACTGAATCTAGTCAGTTTCAGAGAGTTCTGGAAGCTATTTGTTGTTGGTGTTGGTGTTGGTGTTGGTGTTGGTGAAGAGGCGTGTGGTGGTGATAGTGGGGGTGGTGGGGGTGGAGGTGGTTACCTCCCTGCTTCAGGAGTTCCCCTGCAGAAGATGTTTTAATCTCAGGTGAGACTATGACAGTATCACCTTATCTTTCCTTGGAAACAGCCATCAATCTGGAGGTTAGATTGCTGAGAGTTGTTTTGGATTCTTTTCTTCTCCTCTATGATGCAGCTTTTGGAAGCTATACATGATGGGCTTTTGATATTTACTTATGGTGATCTTTCATATATGTTACTCTTCAGACTGCCAGCGATATTTTCTCTTTCTACTTGTCTTCTCATTTGTATAGACCTTAAGACTTGGCCAGTCTACAGGGTAGGATCAGGCATGGCTGTGGAGCTCAGTCCTGCCATTCGTCTTCTCCTGTTGGGCACTGCCACTCAGGCACTGGGGTTCTTGGGAGCTCTTTTTAAGAGTGCTTTTTGTTGTTGTTGTTTTTGACTCAGTGGTAATGTAATAACCAAAATATGATAAAATATGCTTATTCCTGTATCACCATTTCTTTTGACTGGGTAGAGTAGCCCTACAGAGATGCCCTTTCGCTAAGCTGGAGGAACTGCCCCTCCTCCAGAGTGGAGGGTCAGCACTTCTGAAACTGGACCTTGCCCCGAAGGAACCCCCCCATCATGATGATGAAGGCGAGACAGTGGATTTTGCAGACAGCTCTGCCTAACAGCAGGTGTGGGGAGGGTAGCCTTCACACATTTGTTGCCTAACAAGATGAAACAATAAGTTGCAATATTTACTTTAAAAGCTGCCAGAATTTTGCTATAAATCAGGTTGTTTTAGATGTCTTCTATGAATCATTTTATTTAATCCCCAGAGGGGCCAGTGAGATAGTAAAGACAATTGCTTCTATTTTACATTTGATAAACTAAGTCAACTTGAAGTCCACACTCGGGGAGTAAATGTCACAGACAAATTTTAGCTTTTTCTATCTCTCTGTTGGCATCCTTTACCATGGTTGGTTTGACTCTTGGCTTGTCTGCATCACCTAACTAGTGTCCTGATTCCACTAGAGTCCTTCAGCATCTCCCTAAGGAAGCCAGACATGGTGCAATGTATCTCTAACCCCAGCACTTAGGAGTCTGGAATGTAAAGCCAGCCTGGTCTCAAAAATCTTAATAAACTGAAGGATTTCTATGCAGATCAACTCTTTGTTTGGTGCAGTTCTCTCATGGATTTCCAGATTATTTCTGTACACACATATGTGAGTGCACAAGTATGGGTGTGCGCGCACACACATACACACATGCCCCTAGCTCTGCTTTGTTATGTGTACAACAACAAATACTTTCCATGTGTAACATCAATAACAATGTGGTATCTTTTTTAAATTAAGCTTTCTTTGTAGACAGGAGGCAAATTGGTGGTGGGCTTTATTTATGAAGGATAAGGTTGGCTATAGGCAGGGTACAGGGAGAGGTGACTTACTTACGTGTCAGAGGTGCTACAGGATGTCACAGCTAAGCCATAGCGAGGGACTAGCTGTGAGTCAGCATGACCTGGCTTCAGTTCTTGTGGATGAGGGTTGCTTCCGGTGCTGGGACGCATAGATGCTGCCTGGCTGATGTGAGCCGTGGAAGAAAGCCTCACAGAACTTTCTGTTTCTGTGCACGTATTTCCACATTTCTTTAGGAGCAAGGAGTGTTTGAGATCCTTTTTCATGATTCTGGGCAGAAGAAGCCAAGTGACTTTCCATCCGGAAGATGCAGTTTGGGACCAGTGCCACAGGCAAACTTGGTGCTTAGAGCACATCAGTCTTTTTAGGCTGCTAGAACTGTCTTGGGTCTGGACAAACAGAAAGCATTAGGCACAAGACAGGGAGAGGCTGCTATGGAAGATGTGGCAAAGTGATTAAGGGTACGTTGTTACAACTGAAAACACTGGAGACAGAAATACTAGGACAAATTAATATATCCGGCCATGGAGTTGGGTTGGTAAAGTTCTTAAGAGAAGGGGTTTGATAAGTAGATATCAGCTATAAAGTTTATTCTATACGCAGTCCTTGAGCATTTTTAAATAGCCTTTTATTTGCAAGAAAAGATGAACAAATTGCCATCCATTTTAGCTCATCTTATCGCCAGACTTTGTTCAGACTTTTGAGGTCGACCTGGCCGTCCACGGTGCTAACTCTGCTCAGAATCTACTGTGCATTTAGCTCATTTTTATCTTGGAGAGAAGTGCTTTTCCAATATTTTATAAATAAGGAGTCTGATTCTCTTAGAGATTGAAGCTCACTCCTGGGGTCCATTAGCCAGCAATGACAGAGTTCTGTCCAGTCATAAGCTCGTTTGCAGAGTGGTATCCTGCCATTTCTGCCCCATCTTATGTTGCGAAGCATTTTTGTTTATTAACTTAACTGCTATTACCTATCAACAGAGATTTTATAGAAACATTATTCTCTCCATATAAAACTAGGCCTGTTTTTTAAAAGCATAGCTTTACTCATGTATATTTGGTTTATACTTTCGTTCAAAAGAAAATAGCATGTGCAGTGCATATTCACATTTTTTTTTAATTTACTGAATGATTGTATTCTCCAGAATTTGAGGTGGGTATTTATAACTTGCTCCCATGGTTCTTAGGTGTACAGACAGAAGCTATTATATGAACCATTGACAGCTCTGTTGGGGAAAGATCATTGCTGAAGATCAACACCCTTGGAATATCACAATCATGCCTCTCCCGTTGGCCCAGAAAACTCAATTCACTTTTTTCAATGAGTTGCTAACATTTACAGATCTTTTAACTCTCTTCTCATAGTTTTATTGGGTTATTGATCTACAGTAACTGTACATATTTAATGTGTGATTTAATATCTGTGAAACATAACTTCAATAAAAATGAAGAATATTGCCATTTTTCTTAAAAAGTCTCCTTGTAATACCATCTGTTTGAAGCAAAAATGCCCATTTATTTCCTGAGTCTAGTTTGGAGCAAGGAGCCTGGTCAGGGACTCAGCTGACTGTTCTGGACTCCAGCCTTGCCCTAAAGGCATCATGAAAGTTAGAGTGAATTTCTTCTTTGTGCCAGCCCTTAGTTTTCCCATTTAACAAAGGAAGGTGTTAAGCTTGAGGGTCCCAAGGCCCCCTACAGCTCAAAAACAAAACAAAAATAAACAAAAACAATAAAGCTAAAAGGGCAGTGTACTTAGGGTATTGGTTTGGGTTTGAATTGTTTTATGTTAGAATTTAGGTGTCCCTAGAGTCCGGGTACCAGCTGGCCTACTCTGTCACTCCCGGCTTTACTGATTGGTTTTCACGGAATCATTTTATTTCTTTTCAATCCCTTACATCCTAATACAAGGTCATTGACCTCTTTTCCACATTGGTTTTCAAAACACCTAATTCAGAATATTAAACTGTGACACAGGCGATGCTAGATCCTCTGCAGTAACAGTGGCTGAGGACAAGGTCATCAGCTCTGGCTTTTCAAGGCAGTTTGGGTCTTTGATGAGAGGAAGATGCATGTTGTATCTATGTGATTCAGGACTGGGGGAAGGGATGCAGATTGGAGTTTAATTAAAATTCTGATCCCTCCTTTGCCCACTTCCTTGCCAAGTTAACAGCCAACACTTCTGTTTGGGGTTCTGGTGATTTTGCTGCGATGACACAGAGTTACCTCCAAAATTTTGGCAAATGTACCTAAAGCATCAATATGCTCACCAGGTGCTTCAGCGAGGCCTGGCTCGGTGCTGCCTTTTGTCTGTTCTTGCAGATACCTGTCTGCCACTGTCAGGATCTCTTGATAAATAGGGGGCTATAGAAAGAGGTGGGCAAAAATTTGAACCGGCTACAAACAAGAAACCAATTCCACCATGGCATAAAGGTCTTTCCATGATGCTTTTGTCTTCTAGGTAGCTAAGTGGGACTTCTGAGGTGGGGGAACTCAGATTTCTTCTTGGCCAACCATGAGGTTCTTTCTGCTTTGGTTCTGCGTGCTGTTCCTCCTGGTCTCCAGGTTACGGGCAGTCAGCTTCCCAGAAGATGATGAGCCCCTTAACACTGTTGACTATCACTGTAAGTTACCCAAAACCATTTCCTTGTTTGCAAAAGAAGCCTTTTGTTTGTCTTTTTCTATATCTATTCATTTTTCAGCATCAGAGACAAATTTTAATATATCTTTACAATGATTTGCACATTAAATCATCTGCAGTCTTTCCTCGGCTGTGCAGAAACTGAGCCAGTTCTGTTGGGTGCCATCCTGCAACAGCCCAGACACAGAGATTATATATTTTCAGTAAAAAAGAAAAAGACCATTTGCTGACAATTCTCCATCTTTTACTAATTTATATTCAAGACCTTAAGAGAGGAATTTAGTTAAAACCCTTCCTACAAGTACTATATACAGCTAATCAATGCTGGCTATTGATTATTCAGCTCCGTAATCCTGACTGATGGTTTAGCCCATTTTTACTTGCAGATTCAAGGCAATATCCGGTTTTTAGAGGACGCCCTTCAGGCAACGAATCACAGCATAGGCTGGACTTTCAGCTGATGTTGAAAATTCGAGACACACTTTATATTGCTGGCAGGTAATTTTCCTTTCGTTGGTTTATTAGATTAAAATTCTTTTCTCTTGTGGTGCTTGCATTAATGTGTCTAGTTCATGAAAAACTAATATGTGATTGTGATCAAAAACTGCAAGTAGCCAAAAATACTCTCATGAAGAGCATGCTGGGTATCAGGACAGAAAGCAGAGTTAACGCCTTCAGTGACACATCCAGTAATCATACACCATTATTTTGTCCCAAAGTAGTGGGGGAGGGGGAGGTGTCATTCTTTATTCTTTCCTAACTTAGAATTTTTCAGGCCAATATCAGAAAGATGCCTGTGCTTCTGCCCAGTCAGCTTGCCCCAAGCCTGGAGAGAAAGGCTGTGCTTGCCCTGGCTGCAGCGATGCACACAAGCATCTCCCTAATGAGAAAGTACACTGTTCACTTTGCTCAAGTCACAGAGAGGCCAGATGATCTTTAAAACACAGTAATGGCAGATCTGTAAAGATGAAATAAGAAGCAGCATATAGCATTGACGACTTCACAGGATATGACTGAACTGCCTTGTTTCCAACAGGGATCAAGTCTATACGGTGAACTTAAATGAAATCCCCCAGACAGAGGTGATACCAAGCAAGGTGAGCAGCTAGCTCCAGAGGGCGAGTGCATCCACACTCCCCTGAGCTTCAGTAACGACACCCCACACACACTCCAAGTGCATTCATTAATACTGAGCTTTGATTTTACTTGATTAATCTAGAAGCTGACGTGGAGGTCCAGACAGCAAGATCGAGAAAATTGCGCTATGAAAGGCAAGCATAAAGTAAGTGCAGTGGATGGGCCTACCACATTCCCTCCTGGTGGCCTTGCCACCATGACATCACCATAGGAGATGTCTGACCGCCATGTAATTATTTCCCCTTTAGGATGAATGCCACAACTTCATCAAAGTCTTTGTCCCAAGAAATGATGAGATGGTTTTTGTCTGTGGCACTAATGCGTTCAACCCGATGTGCAGATACTACAGAGTAAGTATGGTTTGTATGATGAATTATTTTTCTCCCCAACTAAAATTTCCGTCTTGGGTATGCTATTAGAATTGAACCTTCTCTGCTGTAACCAAGAGATTTGTTTTATCTTTGTTATAAGAGAATATAAAAGAATCTCTCAAATAGAATTTCAATATACACAAAGCAATATTGCCTTCAAACAAATACATTGAACAGATGCGACACAAGCTACTTTTTTTTGTCTTGCAGTTGAGTACCTTAGAATATGATGGGGAAGAAATTAGCGGCCTGGCACGATGCCCGTTTGATGCCCGACAAACCAATGTTGCCCTCTTTGCTGGTAAGAAGCTACAGTGTATTAAGTATCACTGATCAATGATGTTGAAGGTGCAAGAGAATTTAAAGAAGACAAAAGCTCATACCTTAGATATGTACTTTGACACAAGCATTTCAAAGGCTAAAGCCTATGAACAAATTATTAAGGAGAATACGTGAAAAAAAACCACAACAGATGTATCTCAGTGATGGGTATAAGTATTCTTACACGTGGCTCTGTCATTAACTAAGCCGCTGACCCTGAATACATTGCTTAATTTTGGGTGCTTAGATCCCTCACCTGTAAAATTAGGTAATAATCATAGGACAGCCAGTTAGAGGTTAAGGGTGAGCACCAGTGTAGTTTCTTGCATAACTAATGATGCCAGGTGAAACACTGCAAAAGGTAGCTGTGCTAACACACCATAGGTAATAATGGATATTTTACCAAATTATAACTTTGGTTTCAGATGGGAAACTCTATTCTGCCACAGTGGCTGATTTCCTGGCCAGTGATGCTGTCATTTACAGGAGCATGGGTGATGGATCTGCCCTTCGCACAATAAAATACGATTCCAAATGGATCAAAGGTACCTAAAGGAGCATTGCCTTGGGGTTTGGGGGTAGAGTCAGAAGGCTTAAGTGGGAGCAGCAGCCAAGGCCAACAGGAAGTTCAGAGCATAACTTTGCTCATCTAGAATAAGCACATGGTGTTTTGCTTATTAAACTCGACATTGGCAGGGGATTAGTAGACTAGTTGATGTGTCAGGGAATAAGTTCCTGGAGACAGTTATGCAAGTGGCCAACGTAGATAGATGCCTTGTCTTCGTGTGTCAAATTGTCTAACTCCAAATGCTTATAGTACTGCTCTCCCATACCACAACACTTCCTTCCTATATACATCTACCCATTTGGGAACTTTATTAGTGAGAATTGATGAGTTCATATTTATAGAGTCATCTTGCTCATTAAATTCTGAAAATCAAGGGTTTTAAAAAAATTCTCAAAATGAGATTTTCTTCCCAAGTTAAATAGGTTAATGAATAAATCTGTTGAGACAAAGACCTTTTCTGTAGCTCAGTTCCCTGCAGGCCGCTTTCTTTTTTACAGTCCATTAGCTGACTTTAAAGACACAGGCTCTTGAAGCTTGAACACACCCATATTGGGACTCCTTAAAATCACTGCTCCAAGTGGAGTTACACAACGGAGCTGGCAGCTGGGGGCTTACACTAATTGAATCATCCTTTAAGAATGGCTTGTTTTCAATCTTTCAGAACCACACTTTCTTCATGCCATAGAGTACGGAAACTATGTCTATTTCTTCTTCAGAGAAATTGCCGTGGAACATAACAACTTAGGCAAGGCAAGTATATATGTTTGATGTGCACTGTGGACTTAAACTGAATGAAATCCCACCCACTTTGGAAGAGTGGCGGGTGCTCTCCTGTGTTGTTTCAAAGGGCCCACTTGCATGCATTTAAGGGTGCATAAGGGAACTGGGTTGCTGATGGTACCGCTAACTGCTGGAAAACACCTCACAATGCCCTAAGTGGGAACAGCTGCCTCCTTGGGCTTTCAAAAGCTTTCATATTTTTATTTCTATCACCATAGAAAGTGGAGGCCTTTTTACTCTTTAGAAAGCCATCGATGGTCTCATCCTTCCCAGTGTCAAAGGCAGTATGGAGAATGGGAACCCCTGTTCAATTTGGAGTATTTCTGTAAAAGCCCATGTGCTCCTTAAGTATTGCAGACTCTTCTACAACCACGTTCAAGGACTGCACATTTTATTAATAATATGAGAAGCAATAGACAAAGTTAGAGGCAGACGCACAGGCATGGTTTTCATTCAGCCAGGAAGACAGAAAGCTCAGGTCTCAGGGAGCATGTTTGGCAAAGTGAGAAAAACTCTTCATGCATTCTCACTGCATGGCAGTACAGGGAGGAGGTGGCTTGTTCTGAGCCAAACATCTATTTTCTTTTGTTTCCTTTGGTTTCTGTTTGTGTATCTCCCTTGAGTGGCAGAATCTGGTTGTGCTCCTCTTCTGTGCTCACAGTCTCATGGCTTGGTTCTTGTCTCTGGGCAGGCTGTGTATTCCCGAGTGGCTCGCATTTGTAAAAACGACATGGGTGGTTCACAGCGAGTCCTGGAGAAGCACTGGACTTCCTTCCTAAAGGCTCGGCTTAACTGCTCGGTTCCTGGAGATTCCTTTTTCTACTTCGATGTTCTGCAGTCTATAACTGACATAATCCAAATCAATGGCATCCCCACGGTGATTGGGGTCTTCACCACGCAGCTCAACAGGTGGGAACCAGCAGAAATCCCGGTCCTCCCACAGGGGCCCTGTGCTCCCTGTGAGAATTGTGTGTGGCCCCCGCTGTTGGCCTCGTCCTCATGAGTGTCTCATTTTTCAGCATTCCTGGTTCCGCAGTTTGTGCCTTTAGCATGGATGACATTGAGAAAGTGTTCAAAGGGCGGTTCAAAGAACAGAAAACCCCAGACTCTGTTTGGACAGCGGTTCCTGAAGACAAAGTACCAAAGCCAAGGTAAAGAAAAGAGGCAAAGGTTTTTGTATTGAACATCGTCCCTCCCCCCATGAACATTGGCACCACCTTCTATCCATCTGTCATCCAACCTCCCACCCCAGCGGGCATCCCTCTGGGACAGTCCTCACAAAGCCAATCAGTGTTATCCTGTTATGCCCTGGGCATGTGTCTGTGCAAAAGCCCATGGAATTCTGGGAAATGACATTACTGCTCAAGTTTTTCAGTCCTTCCTTCCTCTCTTGACCTCTTCTCTACAGAATGCATGCTTACTCCTTAAATCCAGTATGTGAGAGAATGATTGAAGCTTGCTGTTTTCGTTTCAGGCCTGGCTGTTGTGCCAAACACGGCCTCGCGGAAGCTTATAAAACTTCCATAGACTTTCCAGATGACACCCTGTCTTTCATCAAGTCCCACCCGCTGATGGACTCTGCTGTCCCACCCATTGCTGATGAGCCCTGGTTCACAAAGACGCGGGTCAGGTGAGACCATAGGTCATCTATGTCCACCCTTTTCTCCTGTCATGGACCTCCTGATCTGACCTGCCTCTTTCCTCTGCTAGGTACAGGTTGACAGCCATTGAAGTGGACCGTTCAGCAGGGCCATACCAAAACTACACAGTCATCTTTGTTGGTTCCGAAGCTGGCGTGGTGCTTAAAGTTTTGGCAAAGACTAGTCCTTTCTCTTTGAATGACAGTGTATTACTCGAAGAGATTGAAGCTTACAACCCAGCCAAGTAAGTATGTTTTGGGAGAACTCTCTTTAGCCCTGCTCAAAAAATGACCAGTGTATATCTAGCTCATCTGGCCATTTTTCTTTCAGATTTCTAAATTAGTGATGCCTTTTACAGGTTCCATTTGGGTTTTATTTCTTCTTTATTGTTTACCTCCCCCATTGAATTGCTTTTCAGACTTGTTTGTTTTTGTAAGCCCACTGGGGCCAGGAGGGTGAACAGCTGATGAGTTTAAAAATAAGGCATCCCTCCTTCCTCACCTGTGAAAAGTGAGAACATTTTAGCACCATCTTACCTTGCAGATCTATTTTGGGATGCTGCATGTGGCAAAATTGATTGTAAGCATGCACACAGAGAGTATACTTAGAGTTTAGCGAGATAGTTTGGACAGTTAAAACACATAAGGAGTGAGCGAGGGAAGTTGAATACATGAGACACCCAGAGGCCTTTAGCGTGGGAGGATTTAAACACATTAGAATATTATCTTTCTCATTTTTTTAGAGCCTAACAAGTCTTCACAGCTGCAACCCCATTCAGCCAGGAAAGCAATTTTAAAGAACCCTTTGTCCAGCTTGAAATGTAACCATCTACACAAAAACATAGAGCTATATATCCCATAATTATTATTTCTCAAGTTAGACACATGGTTTGGTTGGCTGCCAAATCATGCCTCTTGTATAGTTGGTACAGGCTTGACTTCAGTGTATGTCTTCAAAATGTAATCACCAAATAGGTGCAGTGCCGAGACTGAGGAGGACAGAAAGGTCATCTCATTACAGCTGGACAAAGATCACCATGCTTTATATGTGGCCTTCTCTAGCTGCGTGGTCCGCATCCCCCTCAGCCGTTGTGAGCGCTATGGATCCTGTAAAAAGTAAGCTTCCGTGTCCTTATTCATTCCTGCTCGAGCACTGTTGTATTCTGTGCTGAGGAGAAAAATCCGCATCACGGTCTGTTTGATTTTTCTCCAGGTCTTGTATCGCATCACGTGACCCATACTGTGGTTGGTTAAGCCAAGGAGTTTGTGAGAGAGTGACCTTAGGGATGCTGTAAGTATGCTGGACCACCTAGCCATTTTCTCTCAGGGTATCAACAGCTCCAAAACAAAATAGTAAATTCCCAGTTGTACTGCTTTTCTTTTCCGTCCTTTCTTATTTTGGTGTGGGGGAATTTTTAAAAGAGAAGATCTAAAATTTGAGAGGGAAATGAGATTTAGATACAACAACTCTAGAGGGCAATAGATTGGGAAGAGAAACCATTTTATTCTCTTAGGCAACCTAGCTAAACTAACAAGTAATTCCACTGGCAATTGTGTTGAATCGTTAGTGTGCTCTCTCTGCTTACTCTCACTAACCAGTCTGTCTTGGCTCTGTCCTGGTTGTCCCTTGTCCCTATGAAGGCTGTTAACTGAAGACTTCTTTGCTTTCCATAACCACAGTGCTGGAGGATATGAGCAGGACACGGAGTATGGCGACACGGCCCACCTAGGGGACTGCCACGGTAAGACAGACGCCTCCCTGTCCTCCAGCTGCTCCTTTGGACCACATTTGCACGCAAACATTATTTTACAACCAGCCTTTATAATGACTAGGGACACATACCACCTAGCATTTAACGTAAACTTCGCAAAAGCTGAGCTCTTTGGTCATGGGGGTCCATTAGAAAAGATTCTGAGTTTTTCTTTTCCTTCGCCATTTGCACTTTTGTAAACAAACAATGTAGAGAAAGGTAGTGTAACCAGTAGACTTTTAGTTTGTAGTCTTTTCTTTGGACTTTTTTCTATTACTTGGAGTTCATAAACTTTTTTGCTTTCTTTCCGTTACTCTTCACTGATGACTTGTTCCTTTGATCCCTTTAGAAAGTTTGCCTACTTCAACTACACCAGATTACAAAATATTTGGCGGGCCAACATCTGGTTAGTTTTTTTTAATTTTTTTGAATTAACAGTCTTTCCTTTCCTTCAGTTCAGCATTTTCTGCCCCTCTTCCCCCCTCCTTTTGCGCAGTTTGGCAGCCCTTCATTTTTCTGCTTTGACTCATAACCCTCTGAAGGTCCTGAGAGATGTTTTCTTACTCAGCCCTCCACCCGTGTGTAGCATGGAATGGTTCATCATTGACCAAGGGACATCCTTAAGGAGAGCCCAGTGGGTTGACATATTCTGCATTTCAATTGCACGCCAGCGCCCAGCTTCCTTCTCTCAACCCTTTGCATTGTGAATGCTCCCTCTGGCCATCTATATCACATGGATGACAGAATTGCATAATTTTCCCCTTCTCTCCCCACCTTTCATACGAACAAGGAATGAACAATATGCATTTTACAAAAATGTGTATTTCTAAGTTCTAAAGATCTTTTTTGAATGTTTCATGGCAATCCCAGGAATCTCTGAATGTTGTGTTCTCAGTGGTGTGAAAGAAGCTAGCTTCAGTTGAATGAAGCTGGATTTTGATGTACAAAGATGTACAGTGGGGTCTCCATGCACATCTGTCTGTGTTTGTTTAGAAGTCTCTTCCTGTAACTATTGGATCAGTCTATACCGTATCTAAAAGCATATGCTTATATATTCATGGAAATCTACTAGGTTAAAGCTCGCAATAGACACGGAAAGGTTTGGTTGTTCTCCCGACTGTGCTGCGTCTAGGGTTCACATCAGTTTCATCCCTCAGGGGGGAGAAAAGGATGACCTGTCTCATGTATCCCAACATCCTTATTCAGTGTTTAAATACCATTGCTTGTGCATGAGTTACTGCTAACTCTTTGGAAGAAACTCCCCAGGCATTTTGGAGAACACAGCAAGGTTTGTGCTGCACTGTGGATGGAGGCTCTCAGTGCATGGGGAAACCTTCAAACGGACAGAGGCCTTCGGGAAGCAGAGTAGCGGCCTCTTAGGCAGAACAGGTTTATCAGGTCCAAGATCAAGTGTTTACTTGGACCAGATCAGGTATTTTCTAAATGTAATTCCTTTATAGCTTCTCCAGGGAAGGAAAGGGAATAAAGGCATTCCATTATAGCTTCTCCAGGGAAGGAAAGGGAATAAAGACCCCAGCCATTCACAAAGGTCTTCTGTACATTACACATTACAAATAGATTAAACAATCCTGAGATCGAGGTGGAGAGAGCCAGGGTCAGCCTAAGTTGGAGCTTGTGTTACATTTCCATGAGGAGGCTTCAGTAGGAATGTTCATGTGTCTCTTACTTTGGAAATCTGCATCATGTATCTTCATTACCAGCTTTTAGTTTTTACTCTTCTCTTGCAAGAAAAAGATTTGGTCTCATTCCCTCAAGGGGGCTTTGACAAAATTCTAGGACAGGATTTCTGAGAACATATATTTGACTTTCAAATGCAAGGAAGCAATCAGAAAAGTCTTTCTTGACGCTAGCCATGTTAATGGACATCTGTTTGCCACCACAGACATGGAGGTATCCTCATCTTCTGTTACCACTGTGGCAAGTAGCCCAGAAATTACATCTAAAGTGATTGATACCTGGAGACCTAAACTGACGAGCTCCCGGAAATTTGTAGTTCAAGATGACCCAAACACTTCTGATTTTACTGATACTATATCAGGTATCCCAAAGGGTAAGGCCTGGCCAGGCACTTCATCTCTGACTGCATGGAAACCTGATCCCTAGCCTGGCTCTCAGAGGTGAAACTTAGTAGAGCTGCAGTCCCACTGGCCACAGTGACTTTGCTTTCCTGTGGTTTAAGTCTGAGTGCATTCCTGTCCAAGACATAGCTCCTGAGACAGCCACTCAGACAATCTAATCTGTGTTGGTTTCTGCCTGCAGACGCTGAGAGCCTGATGAATATCAGAGGACTTTGAGGGTCACCCTCTCAATATCAAAGAAGAAAAGCTGGCAGATGACAAATACCTTTACCAAATATTCTATCTAGGAGGCTATCTCAGCCCCTTCTTAGCTTCATCTGCAGATGTAATGTGGAAAAGATATGCAGGGTGGCAAGTTGTCCGAGTGCCACAAGCGGCAAAGTACGGCATAGTACTTGTCTGCAATTACTGCATTCAGTCCTTAATAGGTGAAGTTAAAAAGCTGTCTGGTCAATTTGCTTGTAAGATTTAATACTCTAGAAAAAATGTCTATCCCTTTGTGTATATGCTATGGTATCAGGTTTCCAGCCAGTTCTTATGGCACTGCCTTGTCATTTATGATTTACTTCTGTTGATTTTATTTTGTTTTATTTTGTTTATATTTTCATTGCAAACGATTTTATAATCATTATTTCTGTTTTGATTTCTTCAGTAATACCATTTCTTTTTTCTTCTCTCTCCTGGTCTTTCACAATACCATTAAATTCCACAGCTTTGACAACTGATTGAAACCAACTAATATTCAAGGACCTTATTACTAACTTAATATCAGAGAACCTTCCCAATCCCTCTGACTCAGTTATTCTGGGATATCTGTGTGTATAACATATAACAGACCTGAATACCTCTTAACCTAATATTTCTCTAATCGGTTATTAGATGTCTGTGGTTGCATTAAAATTTCCAATAATTACAAACTAACTCACTCTTCATTTTCTAGGTCTAATTTAAGTATTTCTCAAATGCCTCCAGATAATTTAAGGATTCTTAAACTAATATGTAGTTGATTATTTTCTTACACTGTCCGGTTTTCTTACATAGTAGATACTTCATGAATATTTCATCCCAAGGTGAAATTTCAAAACAGACCGTGAGCACAAACCTACAGGTGTACATTTGTATTTAACACTGACCAAGTACTTGCTTTTAGTTTGTGACCAGTTATGTTTTTGTCCTAGTTAACACAACTGTATTAGCATAGCTATCTGAGCCTGCTGTGTGTTTTTGTTAATTCAGATATTTCCTTAACCCCAGCAGCAACTCTTTAACCCTGGTTTAAGAATTAGGTGAGCATCAAAAGGTACATGTTTTCTGAACTGTTCTAACTCTGCTTTTTAGATAGAAACTCTTAAAATTCCTAACAACTGCCTAAGAGACTGGGTGAAAGGAGAAAGAAGTATTTACCAAGGACTTGTGCAGCAAGCATACATGTTTCTGGAAATTTTATTGTGACTTCAGGGGGGTGGAATACTGTGAGAGTTTGGTATCTATTTGCTCCTGTAAGCTAAGCATATGGAGAGTTTGAAGGTAGTATTGACTCAGTATAAGCTATTTTCTACCTAATATATTTTTAAAAGCACTTCATTCAAAGTCTTCACATGTCTGTTGCAGGTGTACGGTGGGAAGTCCAGTCTGGAGATTCCAACCAGATGGTCCATATGAATGTCCTCATCACCTGTGTGTTTGCAGCTTTTGTCTTGGGTGCGTTCATTGCAGGAGTGGCTGTATACTGCTATCGTGACATGTTCGTTCGCAAGAACAGAAAGATCCATAAAGATGCAGAGTCAGCCCAGTCATGCACAGACTCCAGTGGAAGCTTTGCCAAGCTGAACGGTCTCTTTGACAGTCCTGTCAAGGAATACCAGCAGAACATTGATTCTCCTAAACTCTACAGCAACCTGCTGACCAGTCGGAAGGAGCTGCCACCCAACACGGATACAAAATCCATGGCCATGGACCATCGAGGCCAGCCTCCAGAGCTGGCTGCTCTCCCCACACCAGAATCCACACCTGTACTCCACCAGAAGACCCTGCAGGCCATGAAGAGCCACTCTGAGAAGGCCCACAGCCATGGTGCTTCAAGGAAAGAACACCCCCAGTTTTTTCCTTCCAGTCCTCCACCTCATTCCCCATTAAGTCATGGGCACATCCCCAGTGCCATTGTTCTTCCAAACGCCACTCATGACTACAATACATCCTTCTCAAACTCTAATGCCCACAAAGCTGAAAAGAAGCTTCAGAACATCGACCACCCTCTTACAAAGTCATCCAGTAAGAGGGAACACCGGCGTTCTGTGGATTCCAGAAATACCCTCAATGATCTCTTGAAGCATCTAAATGACCCAAACAGTAACCCTAAAGCCATCATGGGAGAAATCCATATGGCTCATCAAACCCTCATGCTGGACCCAGTGGGACCAATGTCTGAGGTTCCACCCAAGGTCCCTAACAGGGAGGCGTCTCTATATTCCCCTCCCTCAACACTCCCCAGAAATAGTCCAACCAAGAGAGTAGATGTCCCCAACACTCCTGGGGTCCCAATGACTTCTCTGGAAAGACAAAGGGGTTATCACAAAAATTCCTCCCAGAGGCACTCTATATCTGCTGTGCCTAAAAACTTAAACTCACCAAATGGTGTTTTGTTATCTAGACAGCCAAGTATGAACCGTGGAGGATATATGCCCGCCCCAACAGGGGCAAAGGTGGACTATATTCAGGGGACACCGGTGAGTGTTCATCTGCAGCCCTCCCTCTCCAGACAAAGCAGCTACACTAGTAATGGCACCCTACCCAGGACGGGACTAAAGAGGACACCATCCTTAAAACCTGATGTGCCACCAAAGCCTTCCTTTGTTCCTCAAACCACATCTGTCAGACCACTGAACAAATACACTTACTAAGCCTCAAGTGTGCTATTCCCGTGTGGCTTTATCCTGTCCCTGCTGTCTCGAGGAAGCTGTGAGGGTACCTTAAGACGAGATACCTGCTTGTATTTTAAGAGAAACAAGTAGCCAAAGAAACTCTGTCACTTTGGTAACACCAGAACTTGCCACATGTAGCTACTACAGCAAGGCTTCTGTGTACTTGCCGGAAACGAAGGGAGGTCCTGCTCATTCCATTTCTTTCGTTTGAAGCTGAAGGGATGTGTAGCCTGGAAAGGTTCCCTTCACCAGTATAAAGAGCTGATACAGTACTCAGAAGACTGAACAAATACTTGAAAATGGGTTCAATGTAGACTGCCATTCTGTGTGGTCTTCCCATTAAATGTGAACATTTTAATATGTATGCATTCACCTTGCCTCTTGCACAAATGTCAAAATGGAAAGATGGGAATGTCTCAAAACAAAATGAGCTTGGAGATTACCAAGCAGTTTGCTGAAAAGTCAATCTTTGACCCAAACTGTAGCATTTTTTTCCAAGTGTGGCAGTTTTTTTTCCAATGCCACCAACAAACTGTGTTAAGAGAGGAGCGTGTGTGTGTGTGTGAGAGAGAGAGAGAGAGAGAGAAAGAGAGAGAGAGAGAGTGTGAGAGAGAGAGAGAGTGAGAGAGAGAGAGAGACAGAGAGAGAGAGAGAGAGAGAGAGAGAGAGAGACAGAGAGAGAGAGACCAACCCATTAGGATTTATTTAGGTGCCCATTGCATCTTTTGTACTATGGAGTTGTTTACAGTAAGCATGACTGAACAAGAACTAACATCCTCCTACACCGGTCCATCGTGTTCGGCTCCGATAAGGAATAGTCAAGGCTTCTTTGACTGTCAAGTGATTAACATAACCTGTGTGGTACCCAGTGTCAGAACATTTAAGCGTTCTAAGTAATTTTGTGCTGCTATCCATCAGAACATCTATTCCAGCCTTGCCAGCTTAAGAAGTTAGAGAAATTAAGAGGTATCCTTGATGTATCTATCAGTATTCAGTAGTAACATTTACCTGTCCACTGTGAATCAAAGCCTGAGGCACGCTACTCAACCTTGGACACACTTACAAGCGTTTATTTCAATTGTGTTATTTTATTTTCCATGTAGTAAAACTTTTCCTCTCTTAACTCCTCCTGCCCCCAAACCCCAAGGTGAAAGAAAAACCAAAAGTAGGGCAAAAGAAAGAGACAGACAGAAAAGGAATTACAGTTGGCTTAGCAGGGAGGGTCTGTAAAGCTCTTAGTAGTCCTGGCCTCCCTCCGTCCATGTTCTGCGATGTGAGGATTTTTCTCCTGAGTCATGCAGGCAATGACAGTGAACTGTAAATACCACATGTGAGTTTACCTGGATCTGTGCATTTTGTGCCTTATTCACGCGAGTGGTAGAAGTATGTTGAGTGTTTCCACTACAGAGCACCATTTCCCATGTGCCACTTGTAAACGTTTTGCAGCCAGCACCTGAAGACTTCTTACGGTCATAAAGCAACCTAGAGCGATTTGTTGTTGAACAACACCGCACCCCCCACCTCCAGGATCAGAAGCAGCATCCACTATTGCCATGATAAACATTCCACCCCTGCTGTTCTGATAATGTGAAGTCAGATGAGGGTTCCCAGGGAACGTGGCACCTGCAGAAACTATATCTACAGTCATTTATGTGTAGCTTGGCAGAGCCCACTGATGGCTGAAGGTGTGTAACCGACTGACAGCTTTGGTTAACCCACTGCACATCACCCAGTCATTTACCCAACCTAATCTAGAAATTTCCACAGCCGAGGAAGGCTCCTGAGCCAGTCAGGCAAAGTTAAAGCGATATTTTGGGACAGTGATGATGGTATGCATTACTTGGGGGAGGATGGGGTACAAAACACCAGATCATTTTTATACAGGATGTAGAATACCGACGCAGTTGACCATTTCCTTCAAGAACATTCTTTTCTATAGAAAAATGATTCCCTGTGATCTCTTGGAAACTCCAAAGCTGAAACACTTCAGCTCTACAACTAAAAATATTACAGTTTAATAATCAATTAAACCAACCAACAATAAGCACTACACATCCGCCACCAACAATGTTGTTTGCATTTACCTTACCAATATTAATCCCAGCGTGGTAACTCTGTGTGACCCCCTGATAACATTTTGTAACATTGTGCTGCCTTAGAGTTTGTACTGTGAGTTCTATCAGTATTTATGTTGAAATTTCTAACATGGATTCTAGTCTCTATTCTGTTAATTTAATTTTAAATGCTTTATCCATTTGTGCAAAGGTAAACACAGATTGTATCTTTTTTAATGGTACGGCATAAAAAAAATAACCCTAAAGTGAAGTGGCTCTATACTGTTTTATAGAGGACTTTAACGTGTATAGATATCTTGTAAACTTGTATTGTGGATGTGTAAATAATATGTACTTTGGGTTTTTAACACCGCATGTAAAGTCAAAATAAAATATCCAAGTCATTACATCTTGCCTTTTGACATTAAGAGGTTTATACTGCCATCATGCTTTTATGCTAGTCATGCCAGATTTATTTCAAAGTCTAAGAACATATTCTTCCCTGGAAATATTTGTTACCTGGTCACATTATGCTGCATTCTCTCCTTGGAAGACTATCGTTGAAGGCTGGAGCCAGACATAAGACATGCGGCCCAGAAAGTCCCATGACCTATAGCCCTGCATCCACTGCCAAATGCTTATCTTGGACCTTGATCAAGTTGAAGGAAAATTTAGAGTTTCCACCTTATGGGCTGGGGAGAAAGCTCATGAGTAGAATGCTTGATGTGCAGTCATGAGGACCAGAGTCTGAACCCCAGCACTTTAAACTTACCACAGTAGCACTTTATAAGACCAAAGCTCCTAACCAATGGGAGGCAGAGACAGGAGAAACCCCCAAACAGACTCGCTCATCTAGTGTAGACTGGTGAACGAGAGACCATTTCTCAAGCATAGTGGAAGGTGGACCACCTATAGCCATGGTTGTCCTCCAAACTCCACACATGCACCATGGCATACATGAATCTACACACAATGTGTACGCACATATATACAATACACACAGATACCACACAAAGAATTCATGATTTACCTTGTCACATAAAATATAAATGTACTTTGAGTTCAGAATTATAACTGAATTATAACTGGTAAACTTTTCTTGCTGTTTAGTATGTGGAAGGTCTCTACCCCATTGTACAATAGAAAATGAATTCCCTTAGTATTCATGTAGAAGGTAAAAGTAGGATTCTGTGGCATGTCCCTTAGCATGTAACTAGCTGCGGGGCACCCAACATTGGCCTTATGGGTAGGCACAAAGTCCTCCCATATAGTGGTCATGTTGCCTCTGCCTATTTGGTTCCAACAGCTTCTCCCGGCCAAAGCCTACTGCAGCTCTCCTAAGGCCTTTTGTAGGAGAACCTCAGTAGCACCTTAGAGCAGCAGACACTGACATACCCCATCAAGGGTTTCACACGATTCAGGGTGTCCTGTAACCAAGGGTTAGAGACATCTGTACCTGAGCATCAGTTCAGTGGTACATGCTCCCTTCATTCCCTTTATATATGCAACAGTCCAGAGAGATGAGGAATCATGGAAATCTGGCCTATGGCTGTAGCTCAACTACTTGCCTAGTAGACTGGTAGTCTAGTTTCCATTCCCATGAATGTGAGTGTGCCTCCATGCCTGCAGCCTTCATTCTTGTCTGCATAGTAGGGTTAAGGCTAGCTTGAAAGATTTCAGGTATTCTTTCAAAATAAGCTGATAAAAGCGTATTTGTTCATTTTTGTAGCTAGCAGCTCTGCTGCAGCATGTGGCATTCTGGAGGCCCCCATTGAGCATGGACAGGGAGTCAGGGAGTCATTGTGTCTCAGAAAAGGACAAGCAAGAGTCAGTTGGTAGCTCCATTTGGGCAGTTGATGGGAAGACATAAGAAAAATGTGTCTGTCATTGGCCCAATCTTAGCACTACATTATTTCCTCCCATTGTGAACATTTCTATGATATTGCTGTGGCTCATATTATGGACTGTCCTTTTCTAGGTCTACTGGGCTTTCCTTTCTGAAAGTGTATCTTCTGCCCACCCCCTTTTCATACGTGTTCCTAGCTTTTCTCGTCATAAACCTTGATGGTTTAATGCAGGCTGTGGACTGAAAAGTTATTTTCACCTTCCTTTTCAGTGGATTTATAGTTCCCTAAAAATGTATCTATGAATCCTCAAGGTGGATGCTCAGACTCCATTGAGCAGTACAGCAAGGGAACTCTAGGAGTTTTTAGAGAATACATTGTTAAGCTACAGAAATAGGCACAATCACAAGTACCCAAGACAGAACACCCATGCCCCTGTCCAGCAGCACATTAACTTAGATACTCTGAGAAGTGGCAGCATTGAAACCTAATGGGACACGAAATGCAGGGGTGGGGGGCAGGGACACAGAGATAGACAGACAGAGAGAGACACAGAGAGATTAATAGGGCATCTTTTAAGTCAGACAGTGACATGGTAGCTTAAATACTGCTCTGGAACCAGAGGGATTTACCTTCCTGACATCACCTTTCCATTTTCTTCCTCTGCCGTCCCTTTCCTCATCCTCCTTAGATTGTGGCAAAGAACACTATTTCCAGAAAGCCCTCCCTCCATCCATTGCTGAAGAACTATGGGTCTGACTGACTCTATCGCTTGAGCAACTAGGCTACTTAAGCCATCTCATTTTTGAACAGGGACAGTTTGGCATTTATTTCTCTGACAGTTCTATGGTCTCTGTCAACTCTGTAATTCTATTTCTTATTTTATGAATGCTGAGTTTAAATATTCCTCATTCAGCAGCTTGCTTTGTAGGCCATTTATGAATCTGTGAGGCCTGTTCCCTCTTAGATGGGCAATATATGTAAGATTAGCAATAAAGTACGGCATGATAAACAATGCACTTCAAGCTCTTTAGCTGGGATCTATACTTGATGTTTACTCTTTTTGCATATATAACATGTTAAACACCTAAATCTCTGTCCGTGTTTCCATCTTTATCAAGTAGCTTTCATACCACAAACAACAAGGAATGAACCTATAATAATATCAGTCTAACTCACGGAGAATTCATGCAGGGGATGAAGGGGGAGGGTGAGCAGTATCCTGGACATTCAGACCATGAATCAACTAGAACTCACATACAAAGGAAAACGGCATATTTCTATGCTCTGTCTTATGATATAATTCTTTTTAAAATTAGGTATTGATTATAGGGTGATTAATCTCTGGAATACTTTCAGACTATGCTGGGTTTGTATAGAGAATAGAAATATAAAATGCAGTACTATCGTGTTTATGCATTATTTCCTGGAGCCTTTGAGTGACAGTCAGTTAATCCTTAACAGTTTCTAATTAATTTTTTTATTCTTTATATACATTGTATCCCAACCACAATTTCCTTTACCTCCACTCCTCCCAGTTACCTTCTTCCTCTCTCCTCCAGATCTAGTCTTCTATTTTCCTTCAGGAAAAAAAAATAGAGTAGCTGTCCCAAGGGTATCAACCAAACATGACATAACAAATTACAATAAGGCTAGGCACAAAGCCTAATATCAAGGCTGGATGAGGTGAACCGGTAAGAGAAAAAGGTTTTCAAACACACTCAAATTGTCAGATATCTCTCCATCTTGTTGTTAGGAGCCCCACAAGAGCAGCAAGCTATACAACCATAATATATATGCAGACAACCAAGCTCAGTCCTTGACCTCTTGGCTTCTAGAATCTTTCCTCCCCTCTTCTGCAGGGTTTCTTTGACATCACTGAGTCTTTGGCTGTGAGTCTCTGCATCTGCTCCCATCAGTTGTTTGATGTCATTTCTCTGATGACAATTAGGCTAGGCACCTATATGTGAATATAGCAGAATATCATTAGAAATCATTTCATTTACTTTTGTGTTGGGGGGGCAGTTATGTTTAGTTCTATCCTGGGTCTCTGGGCTTCCCAGCCTCTGGTTCCTGGTGATGCATGCAGTGGTAGGCATGGGCTCCATCTTATCTTGTGGGCCTCAAGTGGGCCAGTCATTGCTTGGCAACTCTCACAAGTTCTGCACCACCATAACCCCAGCACATCTTCCAGGAAGAACATATTGTAAGTCAAAGGCTGGATTGATGTCCCAATCTTACGGCTGGTGGCCTTGCCTGGGCCTCTGTGTTCATTACTAGGAGACTTCATAAGAGTCACTCATATACATTCCAAGGAGTTTGCACTGCACTGTGCTTCTACATCATGTCTCAAATGCACCCCCAGTTCCAATTGTCTCTCCCTCCATCCACCACCACCTGCCTGGAACCCCTTGTGCCCATCTCAACCCACCTCCAATCTACCAGCAAAATCTATTCTTTTTCCTCTTCCCAAGGAAAGCCACTCATCCTCCACTGAGCCCTCCTTCTTACTTAGCCTCTCTGGGTCTGTAGATAGTAACCTGATTATAAGCTGATATCCACTTATAGATGAGTACATATCATGTTTGTCTTTCTGGGTCTAGGTTACCTCACTCAGGATGATTTTTTTTCTAGTTTCATCCATTTGCCCACAAATTTCATGATATTCTTGATTTTTTTAACTGCTGAGTAATACTCCTTTGTGTAAATGTACCACAATTTTTATCCATTCTTCAGTTGGGGGACACATAGGTTGTTTCCAACTTCTGACTATTGTGAATAAAGCAGTTATGAACATAGCTGAGCAAGTGTCCTTGTGGTAGAGTGGAGCATCCTTTGGACATGTGCCCAAGAGTAGTACAGCTGATTCTTGTGGTAGATCAATTCTCAATTTTCTGAGGAACCTCCATATTGATTTCCACCGTGGTTGTACAAGTGTGTACTCCCACCAACAATGGAGGAATGTTCACCTTCCCCCACATCCTCACCAGCAGGAGCTGTCACTTGTGTTTTTTGACTATAGCCATTCTAACAGGTATGAGATAGAATATCAACATCACTTTGATTTGCATTTCCTTGATGGCTAAGGATGCTGAACATTTCTTTAATGTTTCTGTGCCATCCTCTGTTGAGAATCCTCTGTTTAGATCTATACCTCATTTTACAATTGGATAATTTGGTTTGTTGATGTCTAGTTTCTTGAGTTCTTTATATATTTTGGATATTAGCCCTCTGTCAGATGTGGAATTGGTGAAAATCGTTTCCCATCCTGTAGACTACTGTTTTGTCCTGTTGACTGTGTCCTTTGCCTTACAGAAGCTTTTCAGTTTCATGAGGTCCCATTTATTAATTGTTGATCTTAGTGCTTGTGCTACTGGTGTTCATTCAGGAAGTTTTTCCTGTGCCCATGGGTTCAAGGCTATTCCCCACTTTCTAGTCCATTGGTTTAGTGCATCTGGTTTTATGTCTAGGTCTTTGATCCACTTGGACTTGGATTTTGTGCAGGGTGATAGATATGGATCTATTTGCATTCTTCTACATTCTGACATTCAACTAGAACAGCA